TGTGGTCAGGGGCGGGGGCTGTTGGGGATATGTTGGCATGGTGGGATGGAGTGGCAAAGGAGAGGATCAGGGCATATTATGTTAGACAGGGAAAGGGGGAGGCTCAGATGACCTTTGGGCTGATAAGATATTTAGAGGGGCAGTTGCGGGATTGTTATGGGAAAGGGGTGGGGGGCAGGGGCTATCCTGCGGAGGAAATAGAGGGGCTGAAGCAACGCATCAGGGAATTGCAGAATGAGAAGTTTAATGCAGTGCAGGTTAAGGGTGGGTTAGAGGAAGTTTTGTGGGGTGACAGGCCATCGGCGTGTGTTCTGCAGGGGCAGCGGAAGCATCAGGTGGCCACAGAGATGGAATGTTAGTGCAAGAGGAGGTCGGAGGGTTTCGTGTAGGGCAGGTGCTTCGCACAATGGAAGGGATGGGTTGTTATGTGGATGAATGGTTTTGGACTTCTTTGAGGAGTGTAGGTGTGCAGAGGGGGTTGTTAGAGCAGTTGGGACGGCATGTGGTCAATGTCCTGAGCAGGGAGGACTGTATGGCGTTAGGTGGGGGCACTGAAAAAGGGGAGGTGTGGAGAGCATTATCGGGTATGAGTAGGGGTAAATCCCTGGGAATCGACGGTCTGCCATGTGCGTTTTACTTACAAAATTGGGACATACTTAAGGAGTTCTTGGTGAGGTTGTTGAACGAGATGAAAAAAAGGGGTGAGCTGGTGGAGTTGCAGGCGATGGCTGTGGTAGTCTTGGTCCTGAAGGTGGACAGTCCGCACACAGTGAAGGACTATAGGGTTATTTCTTTACTGTGTGCGGATTATAAGTTATTCGCTAAAATACTGGGGAATAGGTTGAAGTGTGTGATCAACAGGGTGGTGGCAGCGGGCCAGTATGGGGTGCCAGGAAGGACCATGTATGAGGGGCACGGGGTGATTCGGGGGTTTGTGGAGAGTGTGCAAGGAATGGAAGGGGGGGGGTGTTGGCCTTAGATTGGTGGGCAGCATATGAGTGTTGAGAGAGAAGCATTGTGGTGGATAATGAGGAGGCAAGGGTTTGGGGACGAGATTGTGAGGTGGCTCGTTGTATCATGGAGCGGGTGTTCGGGTGCAGGTGAATGGGAGGGTGGGGGATCGGATCCCTATGCGGCAGGGATGTCCTTCATCCCAATTACTTTTTGCATGTTTGCAGGATCCGTTTTATAGAGCGGTGGAGGTATGTGTGAGAGGGGAGTGACAGGGGTGGGTAGGAAGAGGTGTGCCAGGAATTGTTGGTTATGTAGATAACACAACGATTCTTGTGCAGGAGGGGGAAGGTTTAGGAGGGGTTGGGAGGATTGTGGACCTGTTTGGAGAGGCGACTGGTATGAGGGTGAATGCAGAGAAGTCTAAGTTTATGGGGTTGGGGGATTGGGAGGGGATGGTGCGAGGGGTAGGTAGTGAGAGGTGGGGTGTTGTGGATAGAGTCAAGATTTGTGGGATTGAGTATATGTAGGATACACAGCAAGCTAGGGTGGTTAATTCAGGGAGTGTCATGGAGCGGGTGATTAGATGGTTGGAAGGGTTGCGGCCTGGTCATTTAACGCTTTATCAGAGGGTCATTGTGGTAAATGTCTTGCTATACAGTAAAATTTGGCAGGTGGTCGCTATGCACCCATTGTTGCAGTCAGATATTGTGGTATTACTGAGGAGAGTCTTTAGGTTTATTTGGGGGTCGGGATGTGATTGGTTGCGGAGGGGAGTTGTTACTCTCCCAGTGCACAGAGGCGGGCTGGGGTTAATTAATTTAAAGAGTAGGATCATGAGTGTATATGTAAAGAGGGGGTTCCTCCGAGAGGGGGGTGTATTGGTGGTGGGCTGCACCTTTTGTATGAGGATATTAGAAGATGGTGGGGAGGGAAGGATTTGCGTGTGTGTGAGGACATGATGCGGGTGCTTTTGTATGTTAGGGATGCAAAACACATGAGGGTGAGGGTTTTAGAGAAAGTGGTGGGGGAAAGGGAGGCGGCGACAGTGGAAGGAGCGTATCCAATGTATGCAGGGGGGGATATTTGGGGTAGGTTGGGTAGGCTATGCATGGTGGCTTTCACCTTAGTACCGATGATATTTGGTGCAAACATGCAGGTCTAGGGTTAATTAATGTGCGTGTTCTTATGCAAATTATATGAGGCAGTTGGTTTGACTTTCCATTGGGGAGGGGGGGTGTTAGTGGAGGTAGAAGGCATGGTGCCAATACTATTGTATGCTGTGACCATTGTACTAGTTGCTGGTGTATTTGTTGGTGGGATGCTTGTTAGGTAACCTTGTTAAGCATGGTGTCTTGTCTTCAGGACCTGGTGTAGTGGCCGGCTGAGTTAATGTTTATACCACACACATTGTATCTTTTCTTGTGTACCTATCCATGTATGTATATGTATGAGCGGGTTCTAATAACCTTCATAATATGCTGTGCATTGTGTGTGTTTAGGTAGGAGTGTATACTTGTATTGTTTATGGTATAGGTTATTTTCCCTATTACGGTTAATGTTCAGTTGTTTATATGCGATATGTTTATTGTGAGTAATGTTTATCCTTATGTTATGGTTTCTATGTATTTCTGCCGTGGTCACAGTGTATCATATTCTTGTTATGTAGTGTTTTCAATAAAATATAAAAAAAAAATCCTTGGGTGAGTGTGTCCGTACCTGCATCCAGTGGATAATCCTTGGATGTGTGTCAGTACCTACGTCCGGTGGATAATCCTTGCATCAGTGTGTCAGTACCTACTTCCAGTGGATAATCCTTGGATGGGTGTGTCAGTACCTACGTCCAGTGGATAATCCTTAGATGGGTAACAAATTCAGTGCCTATATGTAATGAATAATCCATAGGTAGCTGTGCAAGTACCTACGTTCAATGGCTACTGCGTTGTTAGCTCTGTCAGCACCTACATGAAGTGGACACTCTGGGTATCAGATTCAGTACCTACGTCTAAGTGGTTACTCCTGGGGTATCTGTGCAGATACGTATGTCCATTTTATTCCCCTGGGGTAACTGGGCCAATACCTGCTTCCATGTGACTACTCCTTCGGTAGCAGTGTCAGTACCTACCTCCAGTTACTTCCCCTGGGTTAACTGGGTCATTACTTGCTTCCAGGTAGCTACCCTTGGGGCACCTGTATTAGTATCTAGGTTCACGTGGGCCCCTGCGGCCCGGTCCTAGACCAAACCTCCTGGTGGATCAAAGACTGATCAACCAGGGTGTTACTGCTGGCCGCATGCAATCCAGCGTATGAACCACAGCCCGACTTTTCAGGAAATGATTTGAGGAACTAGTCAAATTCCCTCTTGAAGACAGCTAGGGGGTCTATTGGTAACCTCCCTTATGTAAGACATGAAGCTGCTGAATAGTCCTGGACCCCTATATTTTAATGTGTTGTCAAAGTGTATTTATTCTACCCCTGCTTTTCTCCAGTGGTGTTTTGCACAGTCTGCCGAGGCTCTGTTTCCGAGAGAGTGATTTCTGGCTAGGATTTTCCAGGCGTAAATTATAATGTATCGTTCTCAGCTTCTTTCCAATGAATACAAGTCAAGGGACTTAAAAATGTTTCCAATAATTTATGTGCTTGTACATTTTCTATGCCTGCTATTTCGCCTGCCTTAAATTAAAAGGGGAATAATTTACAGCATTATTCCAATTTAGAGAGAGCAAGTAACTTAAGGACAATAATTGGCTTGGCATCCTATCATTTTCCTTGTGTTTGTGGTGTTGATACCGCTGGCATCCTCGAGAACGAGATATTGTGGTGTTGATTCCGCTGGCATCCTCGAGAACGAGATATTGTGGTGTTGATACCGCTGGCATCCTCGAGAACGAGATATTGTGGTGTTGATACCGCTGGCATCCTCGAGAACGAGATACTTTAATTTTGTCATATTCAAGTCCTTAGCGCTAGTTTCTCGCTGTGCTGAGCGGTTAGAATTAATTTTATGCATCGTTTTGGCTTTCATTTCCTTAATTTTTTCCATAGCGCAGTGACTAAAATTTGTCATCACTGAAATTATATAGTTCGCTGAAAGTCACGGGAACATTTAGTTATATCCGCTTGGAGAAATATAATAATAATAATAATAATAATAATAATAATAATAATAATAATAATAATAATAATAATAATAATAATAATGCTATTTATGGTTGGATCTCACCTTCAAAGACCATAGCAATGTATCTACCATATCTGCTAGGAAAATGATAGGATGGATAACGAGAACCTTCAGAACTAGAGACGCCAAACCCATGATGATTCTCTTCAAATCTCTTGTTCTCTCTAGGCTGTAGAACTGCTGTACACTAATGGCCCCTTTCAAGGCAGACGAAAGTGCTGATCTGGAGAGTGTACAAAGAACTTTCACCGCACATGTAAGTACGATAAGGCGGTGAAAGTTCTTTGTACACTGGGAAAGGTTAAAGTCCTCTGATTTGTATTCCCTGGAGCTTAGGCGAGAAAGATACATGATAATATACACTTGGAAAATCCTAGAGGGATTAGTACCAAACTTGCACACGAAAATCACTCATTATAAAAGGAAAAGACTCGGTAGGAGATGCAACATTCCCCCAATGAAAAGCAGGGGTACCACGAGTACACTGAGAGACAACACAGTAAGCGTCAGGGACCCAAGACTGTTCAGGTGCCTCCCAGCATACGTAAAGGGGTTTACCAATAGACCCCTGACTGTCTTCACGAAGGCACTGGACAAGCACCTAAAGTCAGTACCTCACCAGCCGGGCTGTGGTTTGTACGTCAGTTTGCGTGCTGCCAACAGTAACAGCTTCGTTGATCAGACCCTGATCCACCACGAGGCCTGGTCTCAGACCATGTCGCGGGGGGCGTTGACCCCCGAAACCCTATAGGTTTCCAAGACTCGTCTGGATTCACACTAGCTGAATAATTTTTATTATTACCATTTTTACAAAGTAATATTAGCATAAGCCTAAAATCTTTTAACATTATTTTTTATTACAGAATATAAGAAAAAAATCCTTAATATAGAAAAGAATTTAATGTTAACTTAGGTAATATTTCCAGAAAAAAATATGAATATAAAGTGACATGAGTAGAAAATTGCTGGTCATAAAATCAATTTAGCTTGTTAAATACAGACGAACTGATTGTTAAATGAGTGTTAATGGTGAAAGTTGTTTGAGGAAATTAATCTTAATTGTGACCTGGCGCTCGTTGATCAATCCTCAACATCGTTGATACAAAAACCAATAATATATTGTGTGTGCTGAAGATAGAAAAAGTATTAAGCGAGTGTTGATCCTTTAAGTACAGAGAAAACAGATATTAACAAATATTAACGTTAAATAAAACTCTGGCAAGAATGAGAAGACTTAAAATATTGTTGATCTTAACATTGTTAGAAAAACTGCAGTTAACTAACACCTGATTCGTCATTAAACTGCGTGTGATACATTTCATCTTTTACAACAATATGTCTACGGCACGTGTGTTAAATGTTAACGAACTGGTTGTTAAATGAGTGTTAATCTTAACAGGATTTAAAAACCCTGCAGTATGACATGACAAATTATTGCTACCGTCTCACTAAGAGTACAATAAACAACGGCCATCCGTTATAAAAAAATATCTGTTAAATTTTATGTAAATATGATTTGCATAAAAGAAAGTATTATTCCACAAATTAAGAGAAAACTGAAACTTTCTCCTGCATTTCAACATTTAACTTGGTTTGAGAAACTGTTAATGGTATTATGATAGTTTACAAAGAAGCATAGTTACGATTTTTTTATCGGTCGTCAGTAAAATAATGATGCCTTAATTTAAATAAATATGTTTAAAGAATATATACACCGAGAGGTGTATGTCTCTCAGTGTATATATATACTGAGAGTTTACTTTAAATCCTATTTTAGGGATTAAAGTATTCTTGACAAGTAATGAAGAGGTGACATGTAGCCTTGTTGACCGTTGTGCAGTTGAGAGGCTTGAAGCCTAAGAAATCATCGCACAATTGACGGCTTGAAACTTAGCGTCAGAACCAACAAGTCGTTACATTAGTAAGACGGGTTTAGCTCTTGTTTTTTTTTTAACCATAAGAAGCCAAGAAAGCAGTGCAAAAGGGTCATCCCAAGAGCCATCTCTTCAATGCTCCAGCAAGCTAAGGCAAGACAGAATCAGTCCGCCGCCAGACTACCCAAATATGAGGTAAATATTCTTTCAGTTACCAAATTTTACATAGTAAGGCACATGTGAAACATTTATAGATTTTTCGAAACGCTTCTCCTACGCAGCAGGCTTCTTCATTAGAATACAACCGAGTATGAAGACTGAGACACTTTTGCAACATATGGGAATCAGATTCAGCGTTTCGCCACACAGTGGCCACTTTCTTGAACAGAGCTGCCACTTTAACTCCTCCTCTCCTTACACCTCTCTGCTTTGTATTGAACTGAACAAGACTGTGGGGAAACGTTTTATTAATAAAGATTCTCATATGTTGCATAAGTGTCTCGTGCTTTACTGCTTTTTCCAATGTTATAATCACCTGTTTTCAAGTAAAGACTGATGTAGAGATGAAACACGAACATACAAATGAAGGAACACTGCAACACATTGGTAAGATACATAAACAGTTACGCATCTTCCGAAACGTTTCGCCTGCACAGTAGGCTTCTTCAGTCGAGTATAGAAAGTAGGCAGGAGCTGTAGAGATGTGAAGACGATGTTTTCCACCCATTTATCACGATGTAATCAGTCCATCACCCTTAAAGACGTCATGGAGTAACACTGGGTAATGATAATTACAGAAATTATGTAAAAGCAAATGTGAATAGGAAAAAGGTGCAGAAAAAGCATACGAATGTATTTTATGCTAACAGTCGAAGTGCATGAAATAAGATTAATGAATTACGTGGAATGATCTTCCGAGTAGGGTGATAGAGGCTAGGACCTTGAGCACTGCCTCCACTCTGCTCTTTCTACACTGACCCACAATAATATACACACTTAAGCAGTATAATGTGATCCTTTATTGACAACGTTTCGCCCACACAGTGGGCTTTATCAAGTCACAAACAGATCTGGTTGGTAAGACACATAGGCAACAGTTAGGCAACTTCAGGCAACTTTAGGCAACTGTTGCCTATGTGTCTTACCAACCAACCTGTCGGTATTGTATACCATTTTGATGTTCACAAACAGATCTACCTGGGTGTTGTTGTAGATTCGCCGGTACAGCGCCCGACCCGGGCCTTTTCCAAGACGTGGCCCGGCCTTGGCTCCCTTCAAAACGAATAAATCTCTCTACCTGGGTGTGTATGTATGTATATGTTTCCCAAGACCGGAGTCATGGCATGGGTCTTATTCTTGCAATGACCCGTCTCTGGCTCCCGAAGGAGAAAGGTTTCTACAATGATGCAACATATGCTGCTCAAGCACTCTTCTGCTCAGTTCATCTGGTGTATCTCATTAGTGACAGCACCGTATGTACTCCTAACTGTGGACACTAGCGAGGAGGAGGAGAAACCATATCACGGGCGGGATTGAACCCGCGGTCAGAGAGTCTCAAAACTCCAGACCGTCGTCACGTTAGCCAGTGGACCAGCTAGCCACAAAAAAGTTTTCGCCAATAGGTATATTTCTCCCATAGGAAGGTTAGCTGGGCACCACGTGACCACAAATGCATTTTTTAAAAGACGAACTCCAGTTTAGCGTGGCCGTGACGAACTCTAGCTCAAGCCCCCTAATGCCATCAAAGATACGAAATCGTAATGACACGATTGAAAAACAAACCACCCCACGGGGGGATTGGGAAAACCTGCCTATGCAAACCCTTTCCCTAGGGGTGTAGAAATATACCAATTGGAACGAATTTTATTGTGGTATGGTCCAGGGGTAACGTGACGGTCTGGGTTTTGAGATCTTGACCGCGGGTTAATCCCGCCTGTGGTATGGTTTGTTTGCAATCGTGTCATTACGATTTCGTGAGCGAGGGCGGGGTTGTCGTTATACGGGCAAAGTTTTTTGGGTTTGTTGAATCCAGGTAAATAAGTAGCCGCAGTATTCTGAGCCCCTTTTGGGGAGGGGAACAGTGTATTCCCTGCAAAGTGTCTCAGTAACTTCGCACTCCGAGGGGTGTTTTTGGGGGGCGCTAAAATGGCAGTACACTGCCTCTGGCCCACTTTATCTTTGGGGGGGGGTTCCCCCTGAGTCGCTGCCTCGGTACCATGTTGGATGGTGTATCCCTAGGACCTCCCCCATCATTTATTGTCTGGGGCTTCAGGTTGGTCTGTCGTAGGTGAGGGGGGAAGTAATCACATGTGGATAGTCTGTTGCTGCCGGGCTGCGCCATCCCCCCCCCCTCTTTTCCCCTGCTAGCATGGGGGGTCCATTAAATGTCGATCTGTTCCCCCCCAGTTTTAAAGGGTGTCATTAAGCTCAGAATCGTGAATAAGGGAAGATTGTACTGGGGTTGGGGAGGGGAGAGGGCACGTTTGCAGTGGTGGAGCCAACTGTTGACAGGTCGGAGTCGATGGTGGGGCATGTAAAAATTTGCTGTGAATCCCCACCACTCAGCTGAAGGATTGTGCATGGCAGGGAGTGCAACCTTGTGTATGACATTGTGGTACAGTCCAGGCGCTCTTCCTGTCGGGGGGTCGACAAAACCATCGTAAAATACACTCACATTCGCCCCTCTGCCGTGCCATGTTTGTCTAGCATGATTGTAGGGTGTCTTGATGCAGGGGGACATAGATTAGGTGGTTGCGTGACGCAAACATCGGCCGGTCGGGGCCCCGGGGAGGTGGTGGATATTCCCTGAAACGGGAGGTCACAACTTTCTAAAGAAGTAGTTGTATAGGCAGCGTTTCCCACCCAGCAGCAAAAAAATGAACGAATCCAGCAGTAGTCCAAAGAGAGTTGGATCTTGTGGCATGGCTGCAAAATCCACCCTTTTTATGGGGTAACTTTGCTGCTGGTGCAGAAGTGGCTACTTGCGGGGGTTTTTTTATCTTACTCTGTCGCCAGGGAAGGAAGCCGGCCTAGATCTGAGAATATTGTTTTTCCGATGGGGGCCCCAAACATGTTCTTATCGCCCCGGGTTTTGTGCGACCTCCACCCGTTGCTTGCTCTGCGGAAAGAGATGAGCTAGCGCCGGTGCACCGTAGTCAGTGGGAGAGCGCACAGCTTGTATATAGTACAAGCGAAGTACTTCTTTGCTCGACCCTGCACGATGCCTCGTCATGGCTCTCATGGCGCTGAGTCTGAGTAAAGCATGGGATCTGACATACTCCGCCTGTTTCTGAAAGGTCAGCTTTTTATCAATGTAGATTCCCAAGTATAGGTAGGAGCTTGTCCACTCAAGTACTATATCCTGGATACGTAATCTATTTACAGGATCTGGTCCCTTGAACATCATTGCAAGAGACTTCTCGGTGGAGATCTCGAGGCCTAGTTCCTTGCAAGATTGCGTTTTTAGGTCCAAAGCTCTCTGGGCCTGTCGCTCCAAATTGCCTTTCTCATTCACTACGAGTGCTAGATCGTCAGCATAGCTGAGTAGCTGCATACCACTATGAAAGGGAAGGCTCACAAGTTCCTGCATAAGAACGTTAAACAGGTAGGACTGAGCACACCTCCTTGTGGCGTGCCGTTTTCCAGGGTTTTAAAGGAAGAGTAGTGTCCCTGAAAGCCGACACAGGCCTGCCTGTCCATAAGGTAGGACTTTATCCAGGCCATGAGGCGTCCTTTGACCCCTTTCTGAGCTAGTATTGCTAGAATTGCTGTGGGGCTGGCTAGTTCAAATGCTTTCTCGAGGTCGAGGTAGATGATGATACTAGGTTTCTTGTTACTATCAGCAATCTGGCTTAGTAGGGTGGTTATGCACTCTGCTATACCCACTCCTTTGGTGAAGCCAAATATGTGATGATGAGGCGGTCCAAGTTTCCACAGGAGGTGGTTTAACACCATCCTCTCAGCAGCCTTGGCTAAACAGCTGGTCAGCTATATGGGTCTCATACTGCCTAGGTCCTTGGGCTTTGGAATTGGTACAGTGGTAGCCTTCCAAGCTGCTGGGAGTGTCCCGGCCCTCTACGACTTGTTTATGAGGTCTAGTATGGCCTCCCATCCAATCTGACCATCTTGTGCAATTATGGAGTATGTGACACCATCGATGCCCGGGGCAGTGTCACGTGTGTTTTTAATGGCACGTTGGAGTTCCAAATCTGTGAGTTCCTCATCAATCACATCTTCAGATTCACGTGCAGCTTGTATCGTTAACTGGCACTGTGGGAGAAGATCCGTCTGCATATTCCGGATATCATGTGGGAGCTGATTGGAGGCTTCCCTGGAAATGAAGAGCTTCACCAATTTGTCAGCTTCCTGGGATGGGTTCGGGTGTGTTGGTGACCTCGACTTGCTTTTGCCAGTTGCGATGTTAAGCTTGCCCCATATCTCAGATAAGATGGTGTGATGACCGAATGTTGAGCACCACTCCAGCCATTTCTCAGTTTTTACACTAAGAGAGACTCTGCGGGCATGCTGCACAATGGCTCTCAGAGTATTCCTGTTCTCTGTCGTAGGGTTACGCCTGTATAGCTTCCTGAAAGAGTTGATGCGGTGGTTCAGCTCCCACACCTCATCGTTGTAGAACCACCAGTCTCTTTTGTGAGTGTGTCCCGTGGACTTCTTTGGAACTGCACACTCTTCTGCCTGGATGAGAACAGTGATTAGCTCCTGTTCAGCCATGTCAGAGTCTTCGGATAGAGTGTATGTGGACACCAGTCACGAAGATAATCCTGGAACACCTTCCAGTTGGCCCTCTTTACGTCCCATCTAGGACGCATAACAACTATGGGGGGCCTGTTGATGTTGAAGGTGGTGATCACTGCAAAGTGGTCACAGACAAGGTTAGAGTGAGTTTCCCATGTGGTTCCGCTGTGAGTTTTTTGTCCCGAAGGTAAGGTCGGGGCCCGCCACCCAACAGGTGTGTGGGGTCTCCATTGTTTAGCAACTTTACCTCTGGAATATCTTGTAGGAGCATTGCTATGTGTCTGCCAGCAACATTGGTTGCTGAGTGAGAGTGCAGCATTGGGTGATGTGTGTTGAAGTCTCCATCCACAATATTACACTCAGTGTGTGCTCACGCAAGGAGCTCTGCAATGTCAAGGGTGTGTCTTGGGTTCTTGTAGATGTTATAGATGGTAATGGGC